AATGCCCACTGCAGATTTGGAAGTCTTTAACATGTAGTAAATTCATGTCTGTGTATAGCTACCTCACTCAAATGGTCTCCATAATCAATGCAAACTCACAAAGTTGAGATATGATTTTCCTGACCACAGGGCAAAAGCAGTGTATCTTCCGGACTCCAGGAATAGTTTCACCTCAAAATACTCAGAAACACACACACACACACACACACACACACACACACACACACACAGTCTCTAAACTATGCTATTTAAACATTTACTGGCTTTTCTTTTTCTGCTTTGAGGTTTTCTGCTTTTAGAGATTGATCCTAGGGCCTTTGTACTAATCTCTACATTTGTTTTGTTTTAAATATTGAAACAATGTCTTAATAAATTGCCAAATTGCTCATACTGGGCTTAAACTTGTGATCTTTCTACCTCAGGCTCTTGTCCAGCACTCTGGAAAGTTTGGGCAAGAAGATTTCAGTTCAAGCCCAGCCTGGACAAATCAGTAACTTAGCAAAACCCCATCTTGAAAGATGAATAGGGTTCAAGATGTAGCTTGGTTCAAAGGCCCTGGGTTTAATTACTACCACTGCAGAGTTCTCTTATGGTTTAGATCTAAAGTGTCCTCCAGAATTCTCAGGTACGTGGAAAGTGATTGGATCACAGGCTGTTATACTCATCAGCTGATTCATCCATTGATGAGCTATTAGCCAAAGATGCTGGGTATAGGTGAGTCACTGAAGGTTTGACCTACAGGGGTAATTGTTGTCCCCATCTCCTCCCTCCTCACTTTGCTTATTGGCTTCTCTGGATTGGGCATCTTTTCCTCTGCCATACTCTTCTGTCAGCCTATTTATATCATGGAGTCAGCTGACTATGAGTTGAAACTGAGAACCCAATAAATCTTTCCTGCCTTAAATGATGAGTGTCTGGTGTTTTGTCCTATCAACAGAAAAAGTAGACTAAGATAGAATCTTCGTATGGACAGAGGAGATGTTGCTGTGATCAGACCTAACTATGTGGCTTAGAAGCCTTTGGAACTGGTTTGTAGGGGGAATTCAGAGATGCTTGCTGTCAGAGAGGCCCTAGAATGCTACAAACACTCTGAAGACCAGAATGCTGAAAGAAATGCAGATGGTGCCAGGCATGGTGGTGCACGCCTGTAGTCCCAGCACTCTAGAGGATGAGGCAGGAGGATCGCTGTGAGTCCAAGACCAGACTGAGCTACAAAGTGAGCTCAAGGGCAGCCTGAACTGCAGAGCAAGACCCTGTCTCAAAAATATTTAAAAGGAGAGAAGGAAGGAAGGAAGGAAGGAAGGAAGGAAGGAAGGAAGGAAGGAGAGAGGGAGGGGAGGGAGGGAAGGAAGGAAGGAAGGAAAGAAGAAAAGGAAGGAAGGAAGAAAAGGAAGGAAGGAAGGAGGGAGGGAGGGAGGGAGGGAGGGAGGGAGGGAAGGAGGGAGGAGGGAGGGGAGGAAGGGAAGGAGGAAGGAAGGAAGGAAGGAAGGAAGGAAGGAAGGAAGGAAGGAAAGAAGGAAGGAAAGAAGGAAGGCAGGCAGGCATATGGTAGTGGCCAAGCCCAAGAGATTTTATTAGGAATGAAGACTCCATCCACTGGCAACTGGAATACATGTGGGTCATTGCTGTGGACTGATCAGGCCTGCAACCTCCCAAGTGGATGGTGAAAGCCTCAATAAAAGAGGAAGGTGGTATGATTTTAGGGCTCCAGGAGAATCAAAATCCTCTAGTAGAAGTTGAGATTCTTCTGGAGACTGAGACAAAGAACTTCTCTGGGTGGCTCGTATTAATTGACTTTCAAACGAAGAAAGGAGATACTGAGGAAAGCACAGGAACTGAGCAGGGTTTGGAAGCAGTTCAAAGAGTCCCCAAGTAGTAAGTTATGCTAATTAGGAGACTGTCTTATCTCCAGGTTGACATTCACCACAGGAGTGAGATACCTGCAGTTACAGGCTCTCTTCAGTAAACTGGGTTGGGGCCAGGCATCCGCAGCTATGGCTGTATCTTGTCCTTTGAGGCATCACAGCTTCACAGACCACCACAGGCCTCATCCAGGACCAGTGACCCATACACATTCCCTTACTATGAGTCTGTTGTTCATCTCCAGACAAGAGCCTAGGTCAAGGACAGAGAAAGCCAATCAATTAATTTTGAACCCTGCTCAAAGCCAATTTGCAGTGGTCTTCATCGAATTATGCTCTGGCACAATATTTGTCTTCATTTTTTCCATGTCTTGAGACTTTAAAGGAGACTGGGATTAAGGGCAGTGAACTAGTTAATATGGTGGAGAAAATTTCAAGGCAGCCCAACATTCAGACTGTGGCATGGGTACTGGATACTGTTACTTAGATATAAGGTGAAAATTATGTGGACAAAAATGTCAAAACTTTGCAGTTTCATCAGAAAGGAAGCACCTGCAAATTGGAACATTTGGGGAGCATGTTGGCCAAAAACTTAAGCATTTTTAAAGACATAGTAGTTTGCCTCAGGACAATAGGAAAGATACTTTGAAGGAATCACATGAAATAATTTAACACTTCCTAAGCTCAAGTTTTCAAAACTCTAATACTTTCATTTGAGAAGAGAAGCCCTAACCGCTCTGCTTGAGGTGGGCCACATGGAAAGTGGCACCCTGGGTTTCCTTCCACAATACACAATCATCTAGTCACTCAGGGGCCACAACAGCCATGATTCAAGAGGACCCAACTACAACTTGAGCTGGTAACAGACCTTGATTTCATCCATGTGGTGCTGCTAGGTCACTGGGGCTTCCACTTAAATTTCAGAAGAAGGTCCAGGAGGTCAGGCATGAAGGTTTGAGAATGGAGCCAGAAATGTCATAGAGATCTCAGGAATTTAGAGATTCCAGGAATGTATACTATCTGCTAAAGAAATCTATAGGTAATAAGAGGGGTCCACAGTTAATGAGAAGCCATGAGGGCTACAGCCAGCAGGGGTGTGGAACAAAGCCATCCTAAACCTATGCATTCATGTATAGTGTAAAATTTTAAGTTTGCTCTTCTGGGTTTTGGTCTCATTTCTTTCTATCCCCCTATTCTATTTTGGAATGGGTATCCTTGCCCTGTGTTACTATATATTGAAAATATTCAACTTTTTTGTTTTAGTTTAACTGGGGCTAATAGCTAAGAGTTTGCTTTGAAACTCAGAGAATTTGGATTGCATTTTCCAGCAGTGCAGGAATTATTAACTCTTAGTGATGGATTAAACACACTTTTCATAATGAGGTGGACATGAGCCTTTTGAGAGCCTGGTACAGACTGTTATGCTTTAGATCTAAAATACCCCCCCAAATTCTCATACATGTGAAGATGACTTGACCATGTGGCTGCTGTCCTCCTCAGTGAATTTATTGTTGGATGAGTTCATAGCTAACTATGCTGCTGGAGAGGGAGCCTGGTTGGAGATGGGCCACTGGGGCATGGCCTGGAAGGGCACACTCTGGTCCTCAGCTCCTCCTTTCTTGCTCTGTTTTCTGCCTGCCATGGATTGAGCACCTTTACCCCTGACACCCCCATCTACCCTCCAGTTTCTGCCAGGAAACTAGCTGACCATGAATGAAAACCATCATCCAGAATAAATGTCTCCTCCTTTAAGTTGTGGGTGTTATGTGTTTTTTCCTAGCAAAGAAAGTGACTAAGACACATGCCCATCCCCCGAATGAGTGTTTTTCAATGCAAAGCTTTCAAAGTATGTTCTGTGCTTTCTTATCTTATGAATCATAGCATGCCTTATCTTTCTAACCAGCCCCTTTGGAGCATTCATGTCTGTACTGCATAGGTATACAAAGCTCATCTAAAATGCTTGCAACCAGATGTTTTTAGTTTTATAAAGAGACTGTAGTCCTTAGATGATACATTCATCAGACGGAGAAGAGGATTTGTAATGAACACATTATTTCTGCAGCAAAATAATTTTGCAGAGATTAGAATGATGCTCATGAGCAGCCTCAGATATCAGTTCAGATCAGTGCTTGTTGACAAACAAGTGTAAGTCAAACAGAATTTGAGAGCAAACAAACAAAACAATAACTTTTAGGGCTAGCCGGATGGCTCAGCGGACTAAAGCACCTGCTTAGGCAGAGCACAGTGGCCAGGGTTTGATCTCCGGTGTGCCATGCCAGCCCTGCCCAAGAGGAAACACTGAGACAGCGATTGAGACTGGGCGCGGTGGTCTGAGCCTGTAATCCCAGCACTTGGGAGGCTGAAAACAGGAGAATCACTATAAGTCTGATCTATGTAGTGAGACCCTGTAGACCCTGAAGGCCCTGTGCTAAACACACACACACCCCAAAAAAAAAAAAAGAAAAGAAACTTTTAAAAATAAAGTTTCTGATGTCACTTTGTAGCTCAGACGCAGTGTAGCTGGGTAGTGAGGTTAAAAGGGGTGACCGATTTATTTGCACTGGACATAGTGGACCTCAACTGCCACCACTCTGAGAGCTTAATATTTCCTTTAATCTTTCTTTAGTGCAGTCAAGATCCTTCCATTTGTGTATTGCTGTGGCCTCCTCTATCACCTTTCCTGCCCTGATAATTTATTTCTTGTAATCGTCTGTGACTTTGAAAAGACATGATAAAGTTATTATAATTGAATATGAAACTAGGATATGTAGGCCAAAGTGATTGCATGATGGGATATATAAATTTTGCTCACATTTGTGACAACATTTCTTTGAAGGATTGTACAGGCTTTGTTTGCTTTGGCAAGTCTTAGTGATAGATTAAACACATTTTCCATAATGACATGGACATGAGTCTTTGGGGTCTGGGGTAGAATGCTCTCATCTTTCACAAGTTTTGAGACAGTTATCTTTTTTAAAAATAACTAATTTGCTTCTCTAAGAAAAAAAATTTTCCATCTCAATCTATAATTGTCTCCTACTTGCAAGGAAAGATATGGTGTGAAGCCATTTCTTCTAATGCATGCATATATGAGATTTTGACCATAAGAAAATAAACTAAGGTCCAACAATGGCTCACTCTCACACAAAAAGAGGTGGTAGTAATGAATATTAAAGTGTTTATAAAACTTCAGAATTGCATTCTCGGGCTGGAGTTCCTGAACCACCAAGATCAGTCGCCAGTGTCTTTCCTCCTTGCTAACTTTGCAAGCCCTTCCGTAGTCTGTCCTCATACTGCGCATTTAACTTGCATTTATTAGGACTCGCAACATGAGCCACCCCACAGCTCTGCCCACGCAGACCACATTCACGCTGAAACAGCAGGGAGATCTGGGGAGGAAGACAGGGTCACACAGAAATCAGCGCAGGAGTGTCCGTGATTCATGCTTCCAGGAAGGAAGAGGCTGGCGCTGGTAAATCATCACTACCGAGCACTAAGACAGGAACGGGGTAAAAACCGAAGTCTTGAAAAGCAGCGAGGGCTGCAGGAGCCCAGAAGCCCAGCCAGGTGACTCAGGCACTTTCTTACTCATCCTCAGGGCCTCTGACTCAGCCATTCAGTCAAGGCATGGGCATCTGCCAAGCACACGGATAGACCCTGGGGGTAGAAACGAGAGAACAACAGAATCTTCACCCTTGAGGGCTTACAGTTTAGCAATTACACATAAACAACGACAACCGTACACCGTGCTGTAACCCTATGGCGGAACACCAGGCGCCTCTGAGCAGCGAGCGCCCACGTGCACTGCGCATACCCGGAGCGGCCTCGCTGATGCTCGCCCAGCTGCCTTTCCCTGAATGCCTTCCGGCCACCGTGCTGTTCCTTGACTACTCCAGCCCACTTCCACCATGCACCTCGGAACTCGCTGCTCCCTGGCCTGGAGAGTCTCTCACCCGCCAACCAGCAGTGGGGCTCGCCCCGTCACTTCACTCAGGGCTCAGCTCAGATGTTACCTCAGAGGAGATTTTTCTAAACGACCGCCCGGTGCATTGCATGCCAAGCCCCACCAGCGCCTTCTCTTTCTTTGCGTGACAATGCCTTCCCCCACACACACAGCACTTCTCCCAATCTGAACATCTTCAATAATGTATTGTCTGTTTTCCTCATGTAAATTCTGTGGAGCGGTGATTTGTCACGTTAGTTTATTGCTGTATCCTCAGTGCTCGGCTACAACAGTTGAAAGAAGGAAGGAAGGAGGAGAAATTTAAGCTGAGTTATAAAGGATATGTACCGAGGAATGGCAGGGTGTGTAGAAAGACACAGAGTGAGTCTATGCAAAGATAATACAAGGGAGTCATGGTGGCTTTGAGGGAACTGAAAGGGGGGAAAATATTATCTGTACTTGGCACACCAGAGATTTATAGATTGGTTCTCTTCATTTACGTGATCGAATTAGTGATCAGGGTTGTGTGTTAGAAAATGTGTAAATGGGTGGAAAGAAGCTAAGGGTGGAAACCACTTTGAAGTCTGGTCTTCTATAAGGAGAAAAATGCTGAAGGCTTAGATGGGAAAGGTCAGCCTAGAGAAGCAGGGGAGTTGCCATCGGGTGGAACATGCAGGGCCCAAGGAAGGGAGAGACAGCAATCCAGGAAGGTGCTGGGTGGCAGTGCTGCTGGCTGCAGTCCAGCAGGGCTGGGTGAAAAGTGGCTGCCTTCGGGAGGTGATCTATCCATGTGAGATATTTGGGGGTAGAAGGTCGTTTTCATGGAAGGAAACAACTCACAGGAGTTGAAAGACTAGACCTACCGGTAAGGTCAAGGCAGAAGTCAGGTTTGGAATAGTATGCATGCCTTCATCTTCAGGATCATACATTAAAATGAGAAGACAAAATATCATGACCATTTAAGAGGCCAAGACTCAGAAACAGAAAGAAGGATCCTGCACAAAACATGGAGAAACAGCTAAGAGGGTGATAAGAGGAGAACGGATGCTGCCCGAGCTCTGTGGGAGCAGACACCTTCACGGCTCGCTCATCATGGTAGTCCCAGTGCCTGGGTCATGGGAAAGCCTTGCGTATGTGTGTCAGAGTGAGGAGGGAGTAAAGGTCCTGGAGGAAGGAGGGAAAAAGAGGAGTAGAGGGACGCTTGGAATTGGCTGACAGTCGTACTACAAAGGCATTGAGAAAGATAGCAATGGCTACAAGCAGAAATTATTTTTTAGAGGATTATAACATACGAGACAGGGTTAAAAGGAACTGGTATGGCTTAGCTGACTTGATTCTTGCAAGAACCCTGTGAAGTGCAGATTAGGATTATGATCTCTGTTGTACAGCTGAGACTGAAAGGCCAGAGGCTGGAACTTGCCTGGGTTACACAGAAGTCAATGGGAGGAGAAAGCTAAAGCCCGCCACCCGGCTCCAAGGCCTTGCAGCGCAGAAGGAAGAGAGGGGCAGGTGAGAAGGTGCCACTGCCCTTGTGAGGAGCCTAGCTGGGCAGAAAGAAAGAGCCAAGCAGCAGGGAGGGAGCGGAGGATGATGAGCGGTTTGTGTGTTTAATAAGAAAATCTGGAGCATGTGAACTCCGTAGATTCTGTTTACACCACACTCTAGAATTGCTAGGGAAAAAGTGAGGGGGCTGGATAGAAAAGACACCCAGGTTCCTGCCAGCTCTGATTCTACTATTCTACAACTTTGAAATTCTTTCCCAGTAAAGCCAGATGAAGATTTCACTTGATAAAATGAATTGGAGAAAAAAAAAATCATTCAATGCACTTTTAAAGAGATACTTACATTAAAACTTAAAGGTTCTAAGTTCCTTATAATTTTTAATACTTTGAATCTAGAATGTGGTTCCACCCCCATAGTGGGGCTTAAACCCAGGAACTTCACATTGAGCTGCCTCCCTGTAATGGCTCGTTGACTGTGTCTACTGGAGAAGTCTAGCTCAGCAACGCTACACCCGAGGGTGCAGAGGACCCACCCTAGTGCCTGGGTGGTATAAAAAGGAAATGAGGAAGGACAGACAGGCTCCTGTTCTTCATAGGAGCTCCAGTCTTCAGCTTGGACCTCATCACCCGCCTTCTAGTGTAGGCTCCTCAGCTTCCTTCCTCAGATCCTTCAGCCTCCTGTGATCCACCCACCAACCTCCTAAAACAGATTTGCATGACACTGAAATGAACGCCAGACCTTGGGCTGAAACTTTTGGTCTCTACAGTGTGCAGACACCCCCCGCATGCTCTTCCTCATCAAACTCTGTAGCTGACCATCATCATCTAATCTTACAACTTCTTATGTATTTGTATATCTTGTGTTTCATCTACCTTTTGTTGTGATATGTCATAAACTAGTATAATGTTACCTGTTGTCTCCTGCGATTCTTACTTCCCCAACCAAGACAATCCCCAACCCTCTTTTATATTTTATCTTCTATCTGATCTTTACTACCTTGCCAAGTCTGAGCTTTAACTGGCAATCCTCCTGTGTCAGCCTCCTAACGTGCTAGGATTACAGACTTGCACCACCCCAAATACTCCTATGTGGGAGACTTGCTCCCCAAGCCGGTGGCCCTAGTGGGAGGAAGTAGAAACTTGATGAGTAGGCCATACTGGAAGATTTGAGTGCCAGGGTGGAGGGAAGGTCTCTACCTGTAGGTACATTTTGTTCCAGGCCTTTGCCCCCTCACACTGTGCTTCCCAGTGCCATGAAATACACAGCTTTGTCCCCCTCATTTGTAGGCAGTGATACTCTCCTCACCTCAGAAACAGCAGACCAGCTGACCTTGGACTGAGTCTAAAAACCGTGAACCAAAATACATTTTCTCATTCAAGTTGTTTAACACAAAAAAATATTTTGTTACAAAGACAGAAAACTAATACACATCTCTTAAACATTTCCCTATCCCGTCCTGTGGTATTTTTTTTTTATCCTTAATAGGAATCTAAATGTTTTTTTCATCATTAGATTTGGCCTGAAGATATGTTTTTGCTTTCTATATTTAGGAAGGAATCAAGGTATTGAGTTCCTACTATTTTTCTCTGTTACCTTTCTCCTTCTTTACTCTGTCTCTTCCACAGAGGAGGAAAAATTGAGCACAGGAAATACTAAAAAAGCCATAATGATATTTTTGTGATATGTCCTAAACTAGTATAATGTTACCTGTTGTCTCCTGTGATTCTTACTTCATCCCTTGGGTTTTCTTCCAACCTGAAAAGTTACGCTTATGCTAAACTTTTTTTCAAGTTCTTCTTATTTTTTTTCAATATTTTATTTTATTTTGAAAAGTAAAAACAAATGCAAAAGCAAATAGCAGAAACAAAGACAGAAACAGGGCAACATACAAAAATATTTGTTACAGATTTTCAAAACAAGAATAGCAAATTAACAATGGTCATTATATTTTGTCATCAAATCAGTTGCTCACATCAATAGATATAGTTATGCAAGATTGGGTAAATAAATGAACATTAATGCTTGCTTTCAATAAACCTGAATTTTTTCTTATCTTTTTTATACTAACCTTCTTGGTACAGCAATCTCAGAAATTATGCCAGAATTTCATCTTGGCTCTATGCCGCTGCATGAAGCCCTTTTCTCACTGCAAAGCTTGTAATTACCAAATTCCTATTTTGGAACCTGCACATGCCTGTAATCCCAGAACCCAGGAGAATGAGGCAGGATAATCAGTGGGAGTTCGAGGACAGCCTGGGTTCTGTAATGAGTTCAAGGTGAGCCTAGACTACATAGCAAGTCCTTGTTTAAAAATGAAAAAGGAAATCTTTTTCTTTTTTTCTTTTTTTTTTTTTTTTT